TGCTCCTGGATAGGCAAAATCAATATCATTAAAATGTCTATACTACCACAAGCAATATACATTTTCAATGCAATTCCAATCAAATTGCCCAAAACATTCTTCACGGAACTGGATACAATGATTCAAAAGTTCATCTGGAAGCACAAAAAACCACGAATAGCTAGAACCATCCTGAAAAATAAGAAGTCAGCAGGGGGAATCACAATCCCGGACCTCTGGACATACTATAGAGCAGTGGTTATCAAAACAGCCTGGTACTGGCACAAAGACAGAAAGGAAGATCAATGGAATAGAATAGAAGCACCAAAAGGGAACCCACACAAATACAGCCAATTAATCTTTGACAAAAAGACCAATGACAGCTCAAGCAAGTGGGAAGGCCTCTTTGGTAAATGTTGTTGGGACAACTGGCTGATAGCCTGTAGAAACAAAAAAATAGACCCACATCTATCACCATACACTAAGATCCAATCTACATGGATAAAAGACCTAAACCTACATCCAGAAACCTTCAAACTCTTGCAAGAAAATGTAGGAAATACCCTGCAAGACCTAGGAGTAGGTCCCGACTTTCTAAGAAGGACACCAAAAGCAATAGCAGTTGAGAACAGAATAAACAAATGGGACCTCATCAAACTAAGAAGCTTCTGTACAGCAAGGGAAACAATCAACAAAGTAAAAAAGCAACCCACAGAGTGGGAGAAGATCTTTGCACACGATATAGGCGATAGGGGGCTAATTTCCAGGATATATAAAGAACTTCAAAACAACCAAAAAACCAAAACAAACAAGCCACTCAAGAAATGGGCACGGGAAATGGGCAAACATTTCACAAAGGAACAAGTCCAAATGGCAAACAAACATATGAAAAAATGTTCCAGCTCCCTAGCAATAAGGGAAATCCAAATTAAAACATCGATGAGGTACCACCTAACACCAGTAAGATTGGCCCACATAAACAAGAACACCAACGACGCTTGCTGGCGAGGATGCGGGGAAAAGGGAACCCTACTCCACTGCTGGTGGAGCTGCAAATTGGTACAGCCTTTATGGAAATCAGTCTGGAGAACACTCAAACAACTCAAAATCTGCATACCATATGACCCAGCAATAGCACTCCTAGGAATATATCCAAAACACCTGTTTTACGACAAACCAACATGCATCCCTATGTTCATTGCAGCACAATCAGTAATTGCAAAAACATGGAAGCAACCGAAATGCCCATCAGCAGAAGATTGGATAAGAAAGCTTTGGTTCATCTACTCCATGGAATACTACTCAGCTATTAAAAAAAACAAAATGCAGTTCTTTGTGGCTAAATGGGTACAACTGGAAACTATAATGCTAAGGGAAATGAGCGAATCCCAAAAGATTAGATACCACATGTTTGCCTTGATTTAACCTGTAATTTTTTGTTTGGTTGTTTGTTATTTTTTTTTTTTTTTTGAACCTGTCATTGATACTGTCTCAACCCAGATGTTTCGAAGAAGGGAACTTGCATTATTTTTAACATATTGTTTACCCAATACTATGTCAATTAATTCCATAATGTTGTATATTGATACTGTGGCCTCGTTGGGGCTTTTAACTGACTGGATCTTTACTCTGTTAGACCTATTTTCAGACCATAGAAGGTCTCCCCAAGAGGCCACTGAACTTATCTGGACAATAAGACGCTGAACTTTATGCTAGGCATGTGTCTGCAAGCAATGAATCTCAACCGAACTTGAACTATGGTTATGCAACAAGGTGGAGGAATCCACCATGGGGGGAGGGGTATGGGAGGGGTGGGGGGAATCCCCAGCGCCTATGAAACTGTACTACACAATACAATGTAAGCAACAATAATAAAAAAAAAAAAAAAAAAAAAGAAATACCACTTCTGCCATCCTGGGCTAGGGATACCTTCCCTGAGCCTACTGCTCCATGCTTAGAAATCACCATCATTGCCTAGTATGCTTGCTCATTCATGCAGGTTGCCCATTGCTGCTGCAACAAATTGCCATGAAGATGTGGCCCCAACAGTGCAGACCGATGGCCTGTGGCAGTTAGAAGTCAGCAGAGCCATGTTCCTTCTGAAGACTCCAGAGGGAGCTGACCCCAACTTCCAGAGGCCACCCCTCGCTGGACATGGACTGACTGTGTCCGTGTCATGATGATTTGCATCCATCTTCAGATCACCTTTAACTATGAACCCTCTGCCTGCTCTTAGTTATTTAGCACACTTAGAGTTCTTACATTTTATGTTATTAGGCACAGCTAATTCCCGCAGCCTGGTTCTTTTACCAGGTGAGCCAAAAACATCAGACACAATGAAGCACTTTAGGAGGTTTATTCCAGAACAGACGGAGGCATTGAGAGATGAGAAAGGCAGAGGGAAGAAAGGGGGAAGGCCAGAAGGAGAAGAGAGAGCAGAGCCACACCAGGGGTTCTTTTATGCCATTCCGGTGAGCACACAAGTTGTGGGGGGTGGGGATTGGGCGGGGATTGGTGCTTGCAAGTGAATGCCTAAGGATCATTGGTAAATTGGCAGCATTGGGGAAGGGACTGGGAGATTTGGGGGTAGGATTCTCAGGTGAAATGCCAGGTTACATTTAAAGGGTAGACAGGTGAACCAGCGTGAATTTCATGAATTGTGAGGAAGAGGAAATGGCGCAGGCTCCATGGTAAAATGTTGGAATAATCCCTGCTTCTTGGGATTTCAACAGGCACACCCAAGTAATCCAGGCTAAATCTCTCCCATCTCAAACCCTGTAACTTAATTAGATCCTCACGGTCTCACAGGGCACACAAGGTGACAGTCACAGGTTCTGGGACGAGGACATCAACATCTTTGGAAGTTATTACTCAGCCTCCCCCAGAAGGACATGCATGGCCATCATGTGGTGTTTGTGAAACAGTTAACAGGAGAGCCCAGAGAGGAATGGAAGAGAGATTTCTGTCCTCCCCACTCAGTTTTGTCCAATGTCAACATTGGACCATACTTGATTTTTACTTTGTTTCAAGTAATAGAATATTGAAGTCAAATAGTGAGGATTCAGTTACAGCCCCACTTCACACAGGATGGGGAGAATGATATCCACCATGCAGGAAGTATAGCTGGGCTCAGCCATGTGGCACTAATGCTTTTCAAACAAAATAGTATCTGTTTTTGTTACTGGGTCTGTGGATGGGGTAATGAGTTCTTTATAGAGAATGTTCAATTTGGGGTTCTGAGGAAGCTCAAGCTCGTGGGGACAGGGTCACAGGAGGTCCATTGATTTGATATCATTTGCATGATAACAATTGATTGGATGTCATTTGAATGAGAACAATTGATTGTATATACACAGCAAAGAGAGATATTGAGAGGTATTGAGGAACTAGAAGACCAAAGAAAGGAGACTCCCTCTTGCTGTTCTAAAGTACCAAACCCTCCCCCTTCATGCCTTCATGACCAACCATCTTTGAAAAGTCTCATACTGTTAGCAAAATTCAGTTATTGACTATCAGTCAATAGTCCACATGCATGCAGGACAGCAAACAAGTGGCATCCCTGAGCAGGGACTTGAAAAAACAGAAGGTGCAACAGAGACTCCCACAGAAATGGGTAAGTGGGAATAATGGGCCAGAATCAGTGTAGAATGCAGGCTTTTATCTATCTTGTGCAGAAATTTTTAGTGAAATGAAAAGTGGAATAAAGGTAACTAGTCAGCAATTGCATTATTATTTAGAGGTTATTTATCAATGGACACTCAGTGTCCCAATGAAGAGACACTGAGACTATCCAGGTCTGCTGAGGTCTTGGCCACACCTCCAGGTGGGCGGCACTAGCATTGCCCACCCATTTCCTGAATAAGAGACCACCAATGGGGGACATCTTCCCTGTAGGCTCCTGCCCAACAAGGAGGGGTCAAGGAGCACTTAAAATGCCCAACACGCTTTCTCAGATCTTTGGTGTCTCTCTCCCCTTTTGAGAGGCACCCCACCGCCTGGCTTTCTCTCAGGAGGTACTTTTCCCTTCCTTCTCTCTTGCTTTAAGTGCATTTAAAACCTGACACTCCGAATACTCTGGAATACTAGTCAGCCATCAGAAAAAACAAATCTCACCACTGTGACAAGATGGGACAGCAGACCATTGTGCTCAGTGAAAGAAGCCAGGCTTGGAACTCCAAAGTGCTTGGCATCTTGCCTCTGTTGCACCTGTAAAAGCTAAAGGTGGAACAGCATCTGCCAGAGCCTGGGCAGACCAGGGCAGGGGACTGTGGAGAAGTTGGCCAGCACGTAGGAAGTCCCAGCAAGATGGGAAAAGTCCTGGAACGCCATTGCCTGGCAGTGTGACTACACATGGCAGCTACAGGCTGTGTATTTCATCACAAAGAAATGACAAAGGTTGGAGGAGACACAGACATCTCCTGGTTGGAACATGATCCAAATCTACATGCATCGGAGCATCGCATGCCATGCCATGAGCATATGTAATTTCTACTGTGGATTTTAAAAACCAACACACAAAGAATTAGGCATTCAAGACTTCCTGGCCTGGAGGAGCTGGGGACTGAAGGAGATAGCACAAACATAGTCTCCCGGGTGGCAGCGCTCACAGGAACAGGTGCTGGGCAATGCCCCACTCTCGCAGGATGAGCTGTGGAGCTTCAGTCTCTTGCCAGTCATTGGAGTCAACCCTCCCCGGTGGATGAGCTCTCTGGGGAAGCCACACAGGTTCATGAAATTTCCCCTGGAGCCAGTCTCTGAGCAGAAGGGAGGTTCCCAGAAGCCTTTGGTTTAAGTTCATTACAACCCAAAGTTCCATTCTTCAGGGTCATCTGAGCTGCTGGAGATCTTAAGCAGGCATCCACTGGGCCCAGCTCTTCCCACAAGGGCCCTGGAGCCCAAGGACACACAGAAGAGGCCATGGTGACAGTGCACCATGGAGGGACAGGGACCAAGGCTCTGGGCCCAGCTTATCAGAAGCTCGCTGTTACAGAGAGAGAGCGCTCACACAGGACACAGGGTAGGAAGTTAGGAGGAGTCTTTATTGGCCAAGCTTGGCGACAACAGCTCCTGCTACACTCCGGGAGCCACTGCACAGCACAGCCAAAGTCAGGGGTCTGTAAGCTCTCATCCTGAGTGGCCCACGGCACAAACACAGGTTCTAAGCATTCAGTGAGCTAAGTGGCAGGAAGCAAGTTGCCAGAAGCCAAAATTTCTGTGTAGTCAACCAACATAAGCGGCACGGTAGGGGGCAGGAGTGTGCTGAGCCTCTGGAACCTTTCCCTGCTGTCAATTACCTTGAATGGCCTAAAGGAAGTAGGAAAGGTGGAGTTGCCAAACCTCCATGTTCTCACAGTCTCCACTGTCAATTAACCTGGTTAGCAGGTACTAGTTATCAACTGGCTGCACCCCAGCACACTCACACCCCAACAGCTTATCCTGCCGGGGACAGGAGCTGGTTTCCCTCCAGGTGTGTTTGACACCAGGATTGCTTCTTCGTGCACTGCAAGGGAGTGCGAAGGGCACAAGGGTGAGGAACCTGACAGCGGGACTTCATCCTCAGCTGCATTCCTCCCACAGAAAGGCTGCCGGCAAAGCTTCCAGCAGCACAAAACACGTGAAATCAATCAAGCCACGTGCATGTGCGCAGGCTAGGCAGGCGGGCTTCCCTGACAGGCTGTGAGGGCAGGGCCTTGGAGTTAGTGTCTCTCCCGCCGGTTTCTGCTCACTGCAAGCCCCAGGAGGCCCAGGACACCCAAGCCTGCTATCACTCCTGCTGCTACACCCAATGTTTGGACCGCATCCGTGACCTGCAGTGGAAGAAGGAGAGGCATGGGTCAGTGCCAGGGGTCTGACGGGGAACACACTTCAGCTGCCTAGCCCTGTCCACTGTGCCCACTCACAAGGGCACAGAGAACGGGGCATCCATCCCTCCCCGCTTCCCTTCTGTCTCCCCTGCCCTTCCCCCTCATCCTTCCCCCATCCTTCCCTTCCCTCTTCCTTTTTCCTCTCCTTTCTCCTCCCACTTCTCTCCCCGCCTATTTCCCCTTCTCAACTCCCCTCCTCTCCCTCTTCTCTCCCTTTCCCCTCCCCTCCTTCTCCCCCTCTCCCATTATCTCTCCCTCTCTCTATCCCTTCTCTTCTCCCCTGACCTGTTCCTCTCCCTTCCCTCTCCCCACCTTTGCCATCCAAACACATAAACGCTTTAAAACAGGAAACAGACATCCTGAGAAACCACAGAGACTGGAGGAAAACCCCCAAACACAGCTGCCCTGCGCCTTTGGGACCCTGTTTCTGAGAGATCTGTGGAGAGCCTTTGAGAACCGCTGCTTTCTGGGGTTAGCCTCATGCCAGACTTCCCCCAGGCCTGGACTTTGCTTGCTGTGCCCCGTCGCTCTGCACTGCAGGCATTTTAGTACCACCTTCCAGAGGTGAAGCCTGACGATGAACCCTGTCAAGAACAAAATCCCACGGACAGCAGGTGTCAACAAATTCGAAAGCACGCATGGCCGGGGACAAGGAAGCAGGCACAGTATAGCCCGTTTCTTCCAAAGACCAAGTTCACCTCCCGTGACCTGCGTGATTGTGGCCAGACATCATTTCATAGAACCTGCAAAGACACCTGAGTCACCAGTGATGGGAGAGGGGAAACTGAGGCAGAGGCCCGTGGGCAGAAGGCAGGGCGGGGCAGGGGACCAGCCTGGGCTCAGCAGAGTCAGAAACACAGGAAAATGCAAGGCATGAGGTCGAGCGATCGGCAGCCTTTCTAATGCTGATCCTGCCCAGGTCCCTGAGGAAGATGCCAGCACTGTGGGTGGCACCTGGGCAACCCTCTCATCAGCAGAAGAAGTCAGAGGCCCAGGACAGGTGTCTGGAGCACACCCTCCTGCCAGGCGAGGCTGTCTCAGCAGCTGGCCTGAGGGACGCAGCCTTGGCTGCCCCAGCGTGGCTGTGCATGGGGTTGGGCATGTCCTTAGATATACAGTGCCTACAGCCTTGTGTTCCTGAAGGGAGAGAATAAGAAAAAGACAGAGCAACCGGTTGACAGTGAAGGGTGCTTGCAGACCGGCAGAGTCTGATGAGAAGGCAGGGAGAGGAAGAGGGACAGCCAGGCTCCTGAGCTTCCTACAAGAGCAGAGGCACCAGGGCAAGTCAGGAATGAAGTGGAAGACAGGTCCTCCCCAAGGCATCCCACCAATTTGAGCTGTAACCCTTGGAAGCACAGAGGAGGCCCAGCTCCAAGGCCAGTGCTTGGGAAGAATACAACTGTTAGGTTCGAGTTTGGTTCTAGAAGCAGGCAGCCACACAGAATAAAGTTCAACTCAAAGTAAACTTTACTGGGAGCCATCCCAGGGGAGGTTCACTGGTCCAGCACACCCAGAAGTTGTGGGGAGGAGACAGCAGAGAGATGGGCAGTTCTGCTAGCTGGCGCTGTGGCTCTCACTGCTGCCTTCTGCTGGAGCCCTGGCTTTACTGCAGGTTCCTCCTTTGCCACAAGCAGAGGGAGGCAATGAGGGCACTCAGGAGAAGAAGCGGGCTGGACTATCTCAGACCAGAGCCCTGTTCTAGAATGTACACACTATATGATCAAAACATTTTTCTTTGCCACACCATGCAGGCTACTTTGTTTCTTCGTTGCACCCTGTCTGTTTCTCAGGCCTCACTAGACAATTTTTTTAAACAACTCTTCCTAGGCCAATAGAAGCCTCCACTCACTCATGGTCTAGCCTAACCCTCTCAGCAGCCGCTCTTCCACCGACTGGCACCGTAACACAAAAAGGCTGGAATGAAAGGCTGAACAGAAGGAACTGCTGAAGTACAGGGAAACTTATCCCAAGCCAGGAACACCCAGTAACCTTGGAACACCAAGTAGCCAGCCGGGTTCCACTGCTCCCTCTCCTTCCTGCCTCCCTCTGGCCACAAACAACACAAGAGAGCTTTCCTAGCCTCAATGCCATCTTTGCCAAGGTCAAGCAGATATTCCCATCCAGAAATGATGCAGATGCTGAGTCTGTGCATAAGACCAATATCCACCATCACAACATGTCACAAGCACGCATAAACTAGGAGCTGCAAACGCCCCCATCCCCCACACCTAAAATGTGCAAAAGCCCAGTGCTGTAAACCCTGGGCGGCCACTTCCTTCACAGGGTCACCCTGCCATGTTGACATGGTAGGAGCTGTCTCCCACCAGGGAGCAGTACATCAGACCCTGTTTCTCTCTCTCTCATTCTCTCATTCTCTCTCCCCTCCCATTGCCTATGTCTCTCTATCGTCCTCACAACCTCCAGGTGCAAATTCCCTGGCCCACTGCCTGTGCTGAACCAATGAACCTCACCTGGAAGCACTCCCAGTAAAGTTTACTTTGAGCTGAACTTTATTCTGTGTGGTTGCCTGGTTCTGGACCTGAACTCAAACCTAACAACCACCTCTGGAAGTGCATTTAACGCTAGCCTGCCCACCAAGCACACCACCGCTGCGCCTGCTCAGCCCCAAGGGAGGGAGGCCAGGTCCTAAGGACCACTGTTGGCACAACAGGGCAGTTCCCACACCTGGCAGCTCTCGCTCTGGCGTTCTGTCTCCCACTGCCCAGTATCCAGAGGTGAATTGTGTGTAAACTGCACAGCAACATTTTTCACTGGCTGAGTGAGCTGAATGTGCAAGCCGAGAATGTGGAGAGAGCTCATGAGGGACGCATGCACGCCATCTGCAACTGACAAAGATTCCAACCTCTGCTAAGTGTTCAGAATATCAGAAGGTGCTTTAAAAAAAATCCAATACTACCACGCACAGATGAAGAGTCATTGGTTCTTCAAGTGACTTTAAAACAGGAGTTGGTAAGCTACACCCCAGGACAGGATCCAGCCCGCTGTGCCCTTCTCTAATACAAATGTAGAGACATGACCTGTCATGGGAACATGGAATTGCCAAGTCTGCCACTCCCTTCCATGGCCGTCACCTCCACTGGTCTGGATCATCCACACGTGTGTCACTCTCCCCAACCAAATGTGATAGCCACAAAGGTGAGAAGCCCTTCTCTGCTGTCTTGTCCATGTTCCCTGTTGCACCCCTAGCACAGACACAGCAGGTGACCAGCACCTGTCCTGACGACATGGTCTGCTCCTGGGTCAAGGGAACCCCAATGAGCACTCACTTGGTCACTGCGGGAGATCCCATAGCGCAGCTCATTCACGAAGTGCTCACAATTGTCATGGGTCAACGAGTAGGGCACCTCCCTGCCCACCTTCTCCATGGCCTGCTGGGCAATCTTGTTGGGAGGCTGTGGTGGGTACCTGTCGTCATGCTTGTTATTGACCCGGTACTTGTCTTTCCCAGCCACCTTGGATAGCAGTTCCATCTTCACTATGGCTTTCTCAGCCAAGACAGACATGACACTGGATGCCCCAGCTCCTGCAAATTCACCTGTGGAAACCATCACGTCAGCCCGGCGCAGGGTCGCTGAGGCTGAGAGCAGGTTCCAGCTAAGGCAGCCTCAATGCCTTTGGCCCCATCCCCAAGGACCTGTCCATCTGCATAGGCTGAAATTCAAGAACAGGTCAAACCCAAGCCTAAATGGCTTTTTGGGAAGTCTCAAGGGATCCCAGGTCTCTGGTTTCTTCCAGTCTTAAAAAAAAAAAAAACAAACAAACAAAAAAAAAAAAAACCGGTTTTCAAGCACCAGGTAGGTTCACATGTCCCTGAAAGAATCAGGGCTTGAGCTGGTAGATAGCCAGGTCTCCATCACCAGCCTAGAAAAAGTCACTGGCTCCCGGACCAGAACCAGCACCATGGGAGTACCTGCAAATGAGGGCACATTTGCAATAGTGTGAGCATGACCAAGGCCCACCCTCAGAATAATCACTCCCCATCAACCTTAGCCAGCCCTGTCCCACTCGTCCCCCAACCAGGCCCTGGACCCTGTTCTATGACTTGTAATTGGAAGGGTCCAAGATAGCTGAGGGCTGTGACATCCAAGCCTCCAGTTTTATGATTCATCTTTCCCGGGAGGTCCCACCTCCTCAGTTTCACCCTAGCTACTGGGAAGCTGAGCTGAAACAATGGTTAGTGACCGAGACTAAGTCAGTGGGGAGCAGATGAACCACGGGCCACAGACCAAGCAGGCCTGCTGAGAGCTGGGCTCTCCGTGGGTGCTAAGGTGCATTTGCCCTTTCCCAGCAGGCGTGTGGGATATGAACCAGTAGATGAGACTACTTTTGCGCTCAACTCTGTGTGTGTGTGTGTGTGTATGTGTGTGTGTGTGTGTTTACGTCTCAAGTAAATGTATAATTTGTATTGAATTCTGAGATCCACTCCCTTTATTACAGATAGCGGAAAAGAAAAAATAAAAAAGTAAATAAATTTTTTGAATGAAAAAACAAAAACATAGCTGATGCTCCAGCCTCTGAATCTACATTTCTCTAATAAATGCTTTAAATTTGGGTCTGGTAGAGTGGCCTAGCAGCTAAGGTCCTCACCTTGAACAAGCCACTGTCTCATATGGGCGTCGGTTCTAATCCCGGCAGCTCCACTTCCCATCCAGCTCCCTGTTTGTGGCCTGGGAAAGCAGTCGAGGACGGCCCAATGCCTTGGGACCCTGCACCCACATGGGAGACCAGGAAGAGGCTCCTGGCTTCGGATTGGCTCAGCTCCAGCCGTTGTGGCTGCTTGGGGAGTGAATCATCGGACGGAAGATCTTCCTCTCTGGCTCTCCTCTCTGTATATCCGACTTTCCAATAAAAATAAAACAAATCTTTTTTAAAAAAAGTTCATGGGAAACACAAACCATGAACAAACTATGCATGGATTTCATTTCTTTTATCCTAGGATTCCCTGGGCCTTTCAAAGATCCCTTATACTTCCTCTTTCATGCTATGTCTGCTCCAAGCCAAGCTTCTTGCCATTTTCAGCTTGAAGTCCCCTCAATTCTGAATTCTTCTTTTCAATCTGCAATAAGCCTCTCAAATATACATACATGTGTGTACACACACCTGCCGTGTAGCAGCCCAGAGGATACAGGGGTGATCTATTTCATTCAAGTGTTTGCTGTTCAGCAGGTGAGTGGCTTCCAGGGTCCACCATTCTCCTTGAAGCCATCATGCTCCAACCCTGCACCTGTACCTGCTCCTGGGAGGAAGGGAAGTTTATCCTGGCTCCACAGAGTGCAGCCACATGCTCCAAGTCAGTCCGTGAGCAGAGCAGCCAGGATCCCCCTGCATTCTGCTTGCATCACACAGCACAGCCAGCCTGGGTGAACTGTTTGAAGGAAATGACTGCTGTTGGCTGTTACTTGCACCTCCTGAAAAACCAACATGTAGGCTCTGGGGCATATGGGGGATGCTCAGCAGGTAGAGAAGGGTTGTCCAGTGCTGAACCCCTCCTACTCCCATAAAAGGGAACAAAGGTCCAGAACCATCTTGCCACCAACTGACAGATAAGAACAGGCAGCCTCTGATACACCCATCAACGAAAGGCATGATTCATTCAACCGAGACTTCATGAGTGCCAACTCCACCAGGCAAGAAACGACAAACATGTTCCTATGACTCTGTTTACCCTCCTGATCTCAGTGTACTTAGGAGGAGAACCCTTACTCACTTGGGGGAGCCAAATGGACCACGTAGCCACTTCCCACATAGATGGCCCAGTGTGAGTAGCCAATGCGAGAAATCTCAATCATATCTCCAATTTTTGGTGTCTGTGAAGCCTACAATAGAAAAGCCAGAGACAGGTAGGGGTGAAGATTTGGAAAGAACATTCTAGAACTTGACCTGTAAGAACTCTTGACCCAGATTGTAGTCTCACTTTGCTCATAGACTACAGGGACAAGGGAGAACTCCCCACACCGGGAAGAATCCCTCCACTTGCTAAGGCTGCTGGGCCATGATGGTGTTCCACAGGGGACCTGGAGACAATGAAAGGAATGATGGTCAATAGGAATCAGGAGTGTGAGAAATTGTGCATATGAGCTGGGCATGAACGCACTTGAAGTGCCCAGCATGTGTGTCAGCAGGTGACACCTGAAACATCTCAGTGATGACCACCTGTCACACATGTTAGCCTGGGTCATTCCTGTGAGTCACAGAGCTCCAATGTTCAAAGTCCACGACACCAAACCCAGTGTGGAACACTCAACTCATGTCCCCCATCGCATCTTTGGGGGAGAAGAGCATTGCTCCACCTCAAGAGGAGCAGAATGGGTCTCAGGAAGAGAAGAGCAAACAGTTAAGTCTAAATGACTTTTGGTGGAGGTAACCGTTGTGGTGCAGTGGGGCAACCCACCCCTTAGGATGCCTATCTGCCATATCAGAGGGTTTAGTTCAAGTCCCAGCTCTCTGCTTGCTACTCAGCCTTTTGCTAATGTGCACCCTGGGTGGCAGCAGGTGATGGCCCAAGTGTCTGGGTTCCTACCTCCCGTGTGGGAGGCCTGGCCAGACTCCCTGACTCTCAGCTTCAGCCTGACCCAGCCATGGCTGTTGTGAGCATCTGGAAAGTGAACCAGCGATCTCTCTCTCTTCTCACTTGCTCTCTCAGCTTCTCTCTCTCTCTCTCTCTCTCTCTCCTGCCCCTCCTTCTCTCTATATTTGTGCCCTTAGCAATCCAGACCATCCCAGGAAGCCTGAGACGGCTGACATCTGGGCTCAGGCCAGAAGCAGGGTGACAGATGGCAGGTGTGCTTGCAATTCCTAATGGGGCAGTGCGCTTCAGCTCAAGCAGAAGGAATGCTGCCCTTGGCACAAGCGTTCTATTTCTGGACCACTCTGAGGTCAGCAATTACCACTCCACCCTCTGACTAGGCTGAGCCAAGCCACAAAGGTCAGGTCCACCCTGATCAGGAAGCTAAACCATGGCTGGGTGATGCAAAGACCACTGACTGGGAGCTGAGATCCGATACAGCTGGCAAGACATTGATGGCCAGATCAAGGGCCACCTGGAGGAGTGGGCATTTGGGCACCGGAGACAAGAGACATCCAGGACACCAGCATCCCATTTTTGGGGGTGTCTGGACTTGGGTCTCATCTCTGCTCTCCGTTCCAGCTCCTGGGAACCAGAAGTTGATGGTTTAAGCACTCTGATCCGTGTCACCACAAAAGACCCAAATGGAGTTCTGGAATCCTAACTTCAACCAGGTTAATAGGCATTTGGAGAGGTGAACCAGCAGATGGAAGACTTGCTCTCTCCTCCCCACCTCTTGTTTACAAATAAAGTAAAAACAAATTATTTTTTCCCAAAAAATTAGCTTGACAAAAGGACAGACTGAGTTATCAGAAGCTTGGGGCCACACATGGCTACATCCTATCAAATATGTTGAAACCCAGGTGTTCATAACAATGTTTTTTTTAGATTCATTTTATCGGAAAGTCAGATATACAGAGAGGAAGAGAGACAGAGAGAAAGATGTTCCATCTGTTGATTCCCTCCCCAAGTGGCCATAATGCCCGGAGTTGAGCCCATCCAAAGCCAAGCGCCAGGAGCTTCTTCCGGGTCTCCCATGAAGACCTGGTGCAGGGTCCCAAGGCTTTGGGACATCCCCTATTGTTTTCCAGGCCACAAGCAGAGAGCTGGATGGGAAGCAGGGCCACAAGGACACAAACTGGTGCCCATGTGGGAGCCTGGTACATGCAAGGCAAAGACTTTAGCCACTGGGCTACCACGCTAGGCCCATAACAATATTTATAAAACTCACAAGGCATCACCAAATTATGCAAATGAATCACCATTTTATGCCCAAAAACTGAGAAATAAGGAAAAAGAATCAAGAATATTCTATATAAACTATAGTCAAGAGACCAGATTAAAAACTGCAGCGGGGCCTGGCTCAGTGGCTAATCCTCACCTTATACACTCCCAGGACCCCAAATGAATGCTGGTTCATGGCCCAGCTGCCCCACTTCTCATCCAGCTCCCTACTCTTGGCCTAGCAAAGCAGTGGAGGGTGGTCTAAAGCTTTGGGACCCTATACCTGCATGGGAAACCCGGAAGAAGCTCCTGGCTCCTGGCTTCTGATCAGCACAGCTCCAGCCGTTGCGGCCACTTGGAGAGTGAACCAGTGAGTGAAGAGCTTTCTGTCTCTCCTTCTTCCTGTAAATCTGCCTTTCCAATTTAAATAAATAAATACATCAATCAATCACACAACAAAACTTAAAGCCAATGGCAGACAAGTGCCACAGAGGTGAAATCATTTCTAGAATTATTTGCCTCCCCTACTGGAGGACTTGGTTTAAATTCTGATTACTCAGCTACCTACCCGGCTTTCTGCTACTGCACACCCCACGATGCAGCAGGTGCCAGACCAAGTGTTTTAGTCCTTGTCATCCTCAGCTTCCTTCCAGGACCTCCACCACTGCCCACACAGCTGTGGGCCATCATCCTGAACACAGGCTCCCCACACCCTGCCGCCACACTGCACCCTGAGAAGCCAGGAAGCCACTAGAAATGCAGCCAGAGGACACTTGGAAAAGCAGATGCCACCACCTGGCAGGTGCCACCACCCCCTCCCCTGCCTCTGTGAACCAGGACCCCCATCGCAGCTGAAACCAAGACACCTTCTGGGCTTTCGTTCCAGGGCCAGGGTTCTATACGGACTGCATCTGAGGGAGCCAGCCCACAGGGCTTGGCGTGTGCCAGAGCTCCCAACAGACTGGTATCCTCACAGAACGACCCCTCCCTTCTGATGCTGTGTCTGGGGACTCACCGAAGTCATCCTGTGTCCGGCAGATGGCCTGTGTCCAGCGGCCGCAGGCGCAGTCTCTTATTGGCGATGAAGAATTTTGTTTTCCCTCCTTCACCTGCTCGAACATGGAAATACGCCAAATGAAAGACCAAGATTCATACACAAATCATTTAATCATCAAACAAGGGCAGGGCGCAGCTATGGAAACTGGCAGGAGAGTGAGGAAACCAGAGTTCAAGAGGGAAACTCCAAGGAATGGGTACAGGTGTGGTCAGGAGTGGGTTAAGCCAAAGTCGACAGTGTCAGCATCCCAGACCAGAGCACCGATTCGGGTGCCAGGGACCCCACTTCCAGTGCAACTCCCTGCCAAGTGTCTGAAAGGGCAGCAGAAATGACACAAAGCTTGTGTCGCTGCACCCATGTGGGAGACAGGCCGGAGTTTTAGGCTCCTGGCTTCATCCTGACCTAATCCTGGCTGCTGCAGGCATTTGGGGAGTGAACCAGCTACTGCAAGATTCTCTCTCTCTCTCTGCAACTCTATCTTTCAAATACATTTTTTAATCTTTTTTTTTTAAGTCACCAAGTTGCAAATAGAGAGGAAAGAAAGGGGAGTGAGCAAGATCAGAGGATGGGCAAGGGGGAGAGCCTGGAGCCCACAGGGAGAGTTTCCCAAGGGAGTGTCCACTGCAGAGTCAGCCAGAGGCCAGCACATCTGCCGTGGGCATGCAGCGTAGGAAGGCAGGGACTGGGGTGTTTGGAACCTGGGGTCATGACTTGGACAAGGTCCGAACAACAAGCAGAGCAGCCCAAGTCAAATACGGGAAAGATGGTATGCTTCATGAGAGAGCAGCAGGGGCCAACAATCACACAGCCAGGCTGAGCCTCCAGGCCCAGAGACAACAGGGGAAGAGGGGCCACCTGCTGTGTAGACACAGCTTCTAACTGAACCATTTCTGAAATTTTCTCAGCTTTAGCAGCCCTTCTCTGCTCCTGCCTCAAGCCCAGGAAAAGGGAGGCAGAGCCGGGAGGGAATCATAGAAACACAGAGACCGCAGGCTTTGCTCGGATTCCCTTAGCCGTCTTCTGCCTCACTGCCATGCACTGCAAAGCTGATGGCATGAGAGAAGACACCAGAACACGGGTGTGGTCCCCGCCCTGGCCCCTCCCCACCCAAGCAACTGGAAAGCAAGTGAGCCTGGCCAGAAGACAGACAGGAACCATTCTCCCACCTCCCATTCCCAGGTGCCAATCAGAGTCAAAATCTAGGACAGGTGGCTGTGCGGAAGCTGCTTTTTGAAAGGCACGGAATCACAGCACCCTCACCCAAACCCCAAATAAGTTCTCGTCTCCAGATAGCCGATCCCAGCCAACACCCCCAGGCCCAGTGGACAGGAAAGGGTGGGCAGGACTCAGAGAGGCAGCCTGCCCTGTGTCCACAAGTGGAGGGCGTATGGATGGGCAAACCAGAACTCACAACCTACCTTCTGCAGGTTCTTAGCAAAACAGCAGCTTCTGTGTGAGAGGCTGAGGCCACAAGTGAAACTGAAACAACCAGGTTCTGGCACCTGCTCAGGCAAGCTCCTCCTCCGTGCTGGCCACCCTCTCCTCCTAGGGGTCACAGAGGGACAGTCCTCTCCTTCTGGCTGGAGGGAGGGAGTGGGGTTGATGTAGCCACTTCCTTCTGCTCCCAATGGCCATAGCCCCTTGCCTCTCTGTGATGGTCTGGCTATCTTGCAATCACATCACTGCCCCGTTGCCCTGAGCAGGAGGACTCGGCTGACTGCTCTCACCTGCGGCAGTGTCAGGTAGGGCTGGCCCAGTAACTAAACTGTGCAAAGCAGAAGTGGGAAGAAGCACCATGTCCTGGCACTGGGGTCATAGCTCACTCCCCACCCCGGGATGGACAGAGCGGCAGGAACTGAGACCCTGGAAGCCATGCCAAAGGAGAGACTGGGAGCCGGTGGCAATCACTGGGCAGAGAAGGCGGCACTGCAGCCACACACCCAGGCTCCAGGCGAACCCTAGGACCACAGCCTAGAACACATATATTTTTGGGCAAGAGTTTTTTTTCTTTCATTGAAGAGGGGAAAGGCCCAATATCTTTTAATTCCGTTTTCCAAGAACTTTTTGTTGTACCCGCATATCCTTTTTAGTGAGTGTTATTCACTCTTCTATGGAAGAATATTTGTAACATATGTCTACTGTACCAAAAACTAATAAAGCATATATGTACCCGCCACCTTGCTGAGGAAATAGAAGTGGCTAGTACCTTTTTAAAGATATATATTAAGGTATAGATATGGATATAGATATACATACTTTTTTTAAGTACAGCAACAGAGAAAGAGAGAGACCTTTTGTCTGCTGCTTCACCACCCAAATGACCATCGCAGCCACTCTGGGCCAGACTGAACCCAGGGGCCGGAAACTCCATCCTGGTCCCCCACATGGATGGTCAGGACCCAAGTCCTTGCATCTTCTGCCGCCCTCCCAGGAGCATTCACGGGGAGCTGGGTCACATGCGGAACAGCCAGGATTTGAACTAGAGCTTGGATGTGGATGCCTGCATCACGAGCAGCAGCTTAAGGTGCTGCCCCACGGCACCAGCCCCAGGTGTGAGCTCTGCCTTACATGCTACAAAAGCCTCCCTACTGGTGTTCATAGAGCTACCAGTGTCTACATGGTGATGAAGGATGTGTTATTGGCTTCTCGACATCCCTAGGTGTGTCTTTGAGAACACTCGGGATGGATTCTGGGTTAGACTCAGCAGATTGACTAAAGCCAGTGGCCCTCCCCAGTGTAGGCAGGCACCACCCAAGGCACCCAGGACCTAATCAGAACCAAAGGTAGGGGAAGGAGGAGCTTAGCCGGTCGGTGCCTGCCTCTGCCTCGCAGCTCAAGCTGGGATGTTTCCATCATCTTTTCTCACCCTGAGACAGGGATGCACACCTGATTCTCAGGGCTGGGACTCACAGGGATTTGCATCACTGGCTCCAGAGACAGACCCTGCTGGCTCTCTGACATGCCGCTAGTAGATGGTGGCATTTGGTGCCCCCCCCCCATTGGTTGCTGGAGCAAATTCCTCGTAACAGAACAAGGTATTCAGATAGGGATTGATGATAAAGGTGGATACATACATGACTCAATAAGATAAACACTTACATTAGGTGACAACAGGCAGATGCTGCATGGATGGATGGGAGGATGGATGGGTGGGTGGATGGAAGGATGGGTGGATGGATGGATGGGTGGATGGGTGGATGGATGGATGGGTGGATGGGTGGGTGGATAGGTGGATGGGTAGGTGGATGGGTGGGTGGATAGGTGGATGGATGGATGGATGGATGGATGGGTGGATGGATGGATGGATGGATGGGTGGATGGGTGGGTGGATAGGTGGATGGGTAGGTGGGTGGATAGGTGGATGGATGGATGGATGGATGGATGGATGGGTGGATGGATGGATGGATGGATGGGTGGATGGGTGGGTGGATAGGTGGATGGGTAGGTGGGTGGATAGGTGGATGGATGGATGGATGGATGGATGGATGGATGGATGGATGGATGGGTGGGTGGATAGGTGGATGGGTGGGTGGATAGGTGGATGGATGGGTGGGTGGATGGATGATTGGGTGGATGGATGGGTGGGTGGATGGGTGGATGGGAGGATGGGTGGATGGATGGATGGGTGGATGGATGGATGGGTGGATGGGTGGATGGATGACTGGGCGGATATAGTCTTCAAAATGTGTATGAACATGCATAGTATGATAACATCACTAGTGGATTTCAAAATTTTTGCCTGAAAATTACTTTAAAAATTTTTTTTAATTTGAAAGGCAGAGAGGAAGAGATCAATAAACACAGATCTCCCATCAGATTCATTCATTCATCTCCACGGCCAGGAAGGGCCAGGAACTCAATCACATTTTCCCATGCAGGTGGCAAGGACTCAAGTACAAGGTCGTCGTCACCCACTCCCTCTCAGGTTGCAAATTACCGCAGCTGGAGAGAGACATGAAACTAGGGTGTAAACCCAGCACAGTGACGCAGGATATGGGGGTCCCAAGCAAGTGTTAACCACTGAACCAAACAACCACCCTCAATTATCTTACAATTCCATTTTTCCATAGACATTTTTTTAAGATTTTTTTTTTATTGGAAAGTCAGAATTACAGAGAGAAAGAGAGATAGAGAGAAAGATCTTCCATCCACTGGTTCACTCCCCAAGTGATCACAATGGCCGGAGCTGAGCTGATACAGTCCGAAGCCAGGAGCCAGGACCTTCTTCCAGATCCCAGGTGCAGGGTCACAAGGCTTTGGGCCAACTTTTACTGCTTTCCCAGATCACAAGCAGGAAGCTGGATGGGAAGTGGAGCAGCCAAGACACAAACCGGTGCCCACAAGGGATTCCAGTGCATGTAAGGTGAAGACATTAGCCACTAGGCTACCACGCCAGGCCCTTCCACAGACTTTTGGAGTTCCCGCATGTGTGTGCATCCGTGTGTGTGTGTGTGTGTGTGTGTGTGTGTGTGTGTGTGTGTGTGTGTAACTTAAGTGCATACATAAAGCAAAATTCAGTAACCTAGGACACAACGACTACTACACCTCTATCTGAATAATTGGTTCTTAGGTCAAATACACTCTTGTGGAGTTAAATGACTGATAAGGGAAAGCATGGCGCCCTGATGGGGGTAAGGCAGGTAGCCGGGCTGGAGGTCACAATCCACAGAGCCCCGCCCTGTGTGATCCTCCTGGCTTATCAGAAACTCTCCTTTTCAGGATGCTTTGCTGGCATCTGGGGTCTGGGGAGAAGTCTCCAGGTCCATATGGATGTGACATTAACCAAAAATCTATGAAATGGCTATTTCCCATTTCATCTCAAGAAGTTCTTAGGCCAAGGATTTTCATTCACAAGTTTAAATTAAATTTTCTGAACTTTGTAAAATATACCCTGAAGGTGAGAAACTAGGATTATAACCATCCACTGATATTTTGGCCTGACCTACTGAACTCCCACCCAGGACTCAAAGAACCAGCTTCCTTCATCCGTTGCCTAGCAGCCAAAGACCTGGTGTTAACAAAAGTTCTCACCTTGTATATGCAGCGCTGGTACATGTCCTGACTACTGCATTTCCCATCCAGCTCCCTGAATGTGGATTGAGAAAACAGTAGAAGTTGGCCCAAAGCCTTGGGACCTTGCACCTGCATGGGAGACCTAAAAGAAGTTCCTGGCTCCTGGCTTCAGACTGGCTGAGCTCTGGCCATTGGCAGCCAGTTGAGGGGCAAACCAGCAGATGGAAGATCTTTCCATCTCTCTTTCTCTCTGTAAATCTGACTTCCAAAATCTCTTGAGCAAGACTCTCAGAGCACGCCCTACTTCAGGGACCCCGGGGTGGTTATCAGGTAGCTGTCCTCCATCCCAGGATGCAGAGGCATTTGGGAGGCTGGGTGTGGCTTCTCTCCTTGTCTTTCCCCTTTCCCCAAGATACAGGAAAGGGGCAAAAAAGAATGTGGAAATGGTGCCCTCACCCACCTTCCTGAAACCCTTGAGCTTTTTTACCCTAATCAACTATGTAAAAATGATCTAAAATAAAAATAATTAAGAAAAAAAGTAACGAAACAGCATACACAGGAGGTAGGGCAAAGAGTGGGGCTTAACACTTTAGGCCCTCACACAAGCATAGTGAAAGTTTGGCATCATAACCAGATATTGACAGAGTGGAGTCAGAGGCTGGGTGAACAAGCTAAGCCAAAGGCTAGGTTTTTTGGTAAGGCGTGCAGAAGGAAAGTACCCCGGTTTCCAAGGACGCATCCAGGAGGGGTATGACTGAAGTTTAATACTGCCCATCTAGGTCGCCCTCTCCTCCTCCCTCAGGCTGAAGCGGGCCAGGTCGCTTTGACCACCACCCTCCCTTGCTCCAGCAGCCCCACTCCTCCCAGCCTTCTTCACCATGGGATCCCAGCATGTCAGCCCTGGTGGCCATGGGCCCTTCACACTGTGTTTGGTTAACCTGACAGAGAAATGCTGCCTTCTTTAGCTTTAAAGCAGATTCCACAAGCCCCGATCCAAGCACAAGCTTCGGCCCCAGGCCCTTCCGTTGCCCCTAGATTTCCCCTGGCCACTCACCGCCAGAGCTTTGTCCTGAAAGGAAACCAGGGATGACCGGAAAGAAAGGAGAGCTAGAGCATGGCCACCTTCTCACACTCACCGTTGATGCATTCAGGGAACTTCAGGGCCAGCACCCCAGGAAGTTCCAGCTGAAGGTGAACCCCAGGAGCCAGGGACGAGGCTGATCAGCAGCTGGGAGGGCAAGTCCAAGGAATATTGTGCTGAAGTGAGTAAAGGCAGCTCCAGCAGCGTGCGAGTGTGCGGGACCTTCTGAAAGAGAGAGGCGGCCTGAATGCACAGAGAGGGAACTCCCAGAATCACAGCCAGGAGGGGCTTTCCTCTGCGAGAAAACACTTCCAAAGGAAGTGAGGTGTGGGTGTTACAGCCTCTGGGAAGCTTAGTGCTCTCATGTGCACTAAAACAAGGCATCCTGCAGAAGCACATCCTTCATGCTTCACCTGTGAGCCCAGAGGCGATTTCTGTGCAACGCCCCTGGGACTGTGCACTAGTGTGAGTGCCATCTGGGAGGTGGGGCTCAGGCAATCACAGCCACAGACACTCCTGCTTTGTTTTGCTCTTGCTAATTAAATAAAAAGCCTAGCGTTTAGTTTTTCTCTAAAGACTCACATAGCTGCTTCTTTATGTCACTCAGGTCTCTGCTCAAGCTTTATTTTTGTTTTTTGGTTTTGTTTTTAAGATTTATTTATTGTTATTAGGAAAAGCAAATTTAGCAGAGAGAAGGAGAGACAGACAGAAAGATCTTCCATCTGCTGTTTCATTCCCCAAATGGCCACAGCAGGCAGAGCTGAGTCAATCCGAAGCCAGGAGCCTGGAGCCTTCTCTGGGTCTCCCATGCAGGTGCAGGGACCATCCTCTACTGCTTTCCCAGGTCATATGCAGGGAGCTGGATGGAAAGTGAGCAGTTGGACACAAACCAGTACACATGTGAAATCCCAATGCTTGCACAAAGAAGATTAGCCAATTGAGCCATCATGTCAGCCCCCGAAGCCAGTCAGTCTTCCTGGTTTGTGCAGCCCAAGAGCTCAGAAAAGTCTGTGGGCTCTCAAGAATTGAGAAAAAGAAAACAAATCCTGAGTGGCACATGAGAACTGGATAAAATTCCAATCTCACGGTTGGTCAGGGACATGACTGCCTGCTCACTCACCATCCACGGCTGCCTTTGGGACACAGCAGAACTGAGTCACTGAACAAGGCCCAAAGGGTCTAAAACATTCGCCACCCACACCTCAACCTCTCTAGCGCACCCCTCCCCCCATGTAAACACACAGTTTCTCTTTCACATCACTCATCTGAATGTCATCTAGGCCCTAAGTTACACTTTCACTGACTAGCGAGTCTGTTCTGGAGTTTCCACTCAATTCCAAAGGTCAATATTATTATTACCACATCAAAGACACCACTTTGGGGACGGGCAGTTCAAGCACTGTTTGGAGGCCAGAGACACATATCAGTGTCTGGGTTGGGTTTTGAGTCTACTTCGGATACAGCTTCTTGCTACTGCACAACCTGGGAGGCAACACTGCTTGACCCAAGTATTTGAACCCCTGCCACGCATGCAGGAGACTCCCATGGAGTTCCTGGCTCCTGGTGTCAGCCTGGCCCAGCCCTGGCTGCTATGGGCATCTAAAGGGTGAACCCGCGAATAGAAGATACATTTCACTCATTCAATCTCTCACACTCTGCTTTTGAAATGGAACAAAGTTAAATAATAAAGAACTTTTTAAATGCACCATCTTGATCCCAATAGTCATTGGCAATAAGCTTTACTATTTGATGGCCCAAGTCTCGCAACTCAGTGTTCCTTCGCTCATGACACAGGTGACCCTGCCCACTTCCTCCCATACCAGTTTTGGTATAATCTGGTTGAAATCCCAAGAAAGAGCCTGTTGGCATATGCTTGAGAACCGCAGTGCATGGGAGACATACTCTCTAGCTCTTTTTCTAAGATTTTCTAAGAACGTGAGATAGGGAGAAAGATCTTCCATCCTCTGGTTTGCTCCCCAAATGGCTTCAAAGGCTGGGACTGAGCCAATCCAAAGCTGGGAGCTTCTTTCAGGTCTCCCATGCAAGTGCAGGGTCCCAAAGCTTTGGGCCGTCCTCTACTGCTTTTCCAGGCCACAAGCAGGGAACTGGATGGGAAGTGGAGCAAGAGGGACACAAACCGGCACCCATGTGTGATCCCAGTGGATGCAAGGTGAGGATGTTAACCACTAGGCTACTGCTGTGGGACCCTTTCTCGTTTTTTCAAACTTCTATTGATGATGTTTAAGTAGTTGATTAGGGTGGGAAGGGTTGAGGATTGAGGGAAAGTGGATGACATCGTTGTTTCCAAATTTTCTTATTCTTCCTGTAACCAGGGGCATGGAGAAATAATAAGAGAAGCTGCACCCAACCTCCCAACCACCTCAGCACCCAAGGGTGAGTAACGGCCACCTGATGTCATCCCAGGGGCCCCAATGTGGAGCATGCTCCAAGGGTTCTGTTCAAGTGGTTTTGGTAGTAGTTCTGAAATGCTGTTGATTTCACCAAGGATGAAGAAATCCCTCCAAGGTCCATTGACCGACCGTCCATCCCAGAGTCTCCATCTGCCCAGATACTTGGTGTCAACGCTTAGCTGGGGTACTTGACCAATTTGCTCTGTCCTCCTTCCTCCACTATGGTATCAAATGCCCTCTGCAGGCCCCAATGGACTGCCATATCCTCCATGTTCATCTAGGCATGCTATCCACTGCTCTGTCTTAGCCACTTAGGAGGCCCAGTTCTGACACATTACTCCCCGGTCAGACCACAGGTCCTATGATTCTCCACATGGTTGGAGTTCTGTGTCCAGCGGTTCAGTTGGGAGGATTCCCAAAGAAACCTCATCTGACATGATCCCAGATCTGACTCTTGTATGTGCTTGCCAACGTGGGGTCCAGCTGAGTCCATCACCCACACTCACCTGCGCATACACTAGTAGTTGCAATTGCTGGGTTGGTTCTGCCTCCAGCCCCATCTTTTACATAAGTCAATGGATGCTGTGGCCCAACCCAGCCCTGCTCACCATGCACTCTGCCCTCACATACACCAGTAGGAATTACAACCTAGTCAGAGTGACTCCCAATTACCTTCACCAGGCCCACCTCAGCCCTCGTTCATATGCTTGCCAGAATATGCAGCAGACTGGTCCAGTCTGTCCCACATCCCATTCAGCTCTCCTACATGTCAATGGGTGTTGAAATCTAGCTGAACCCAACTGTCCAGCCCATACTCATGCTAGCAGGTAACACTGCCTGTCTAGCCAGCCCAACCCCCAGCCTTGGTTCTCATGCCCACCAGTGGGAGGTACAGCTCATCAGAGAGATACCCACCATCTCCCTACTGGGCCCACTCCCAATCCTGGTCTTGTACTCTCCTGGAGGTTCTGTAGTCTAGCTAGGCAGGATTTACCCCCTAGTCCCAGCACTTGCCAGCTGATGCTGCAGCAAAGCCCAATCAGTCTGCACATTCTCTGGCCTGCACATGTACCAGTGGATACAGTCACTTAGCCCAGCCTGGCCCTCTCCCTAACCCAGCTCACACGCAAACCAACAGGTGTTGTAGCCCTGCCTAGTCTGGTCTGTTCCCAATGCCAGTTCTTATACTCACCAGTGGGAGCAATGACAAAGGGGAATCCCCGCAGCCCCTCTAATGGGCTCACACCTTCTTCTCACCAGGTCTCACGTGTGCTGGTGGGTGCTACAGCCCAGTCTGGCTTAGCCCACCTTACCTCAGCATTGGTCGTCAGGTGCTATAGCTTGGCCTGGTCCAGTCTATCCCCAGTTCCAGCTCAGGATGATGGGTGTCACCACCCAGTCCAGCCCAGTCTATCCCCAGTCCTGGCCCTAATGTGGACTATCTGGTGTTGCAGCCAACTCAGCCCACCCTGCATCTTGTCCTGTCTCTCAGATCTGCCACTGGATGTTTTGAAGTGGCTCAGCCTGGCCTCCCCCAGTCCTGACCCACATGTATGCTGGCAGGTAACCTGGCTTGGTCTGGGCTGCTCCCAGTCTTGGTTCTTGTGCTCACCTACAGGGACTGCATCCTGACTGAGGAGTTCCTCAAGCTCCTGTCATTCCTAAATTCAGTGTGTACTAGTGGGTGGTTGATGCTAACTAGCTCAGCTCAGGTCTCCCACATGAGCAGGTGCATCAGCAGTCTGACCCAGAAAGTTCCTCTAGCTGCCCTCCTCCAAACGGCCTGGTCTCGGTCCCCTCACTTACCTACAAGCACTGTGGTCTTGTGGGCACAAGTCCCCTAAAGTCATTCCTCACCTGTAACATACTCCCTCGATGGTTCCGCCTCCCATACATCCTATGCCCCCTTCCCTGATCAAACCACAGCCCCTGTGCCCGTAAGCAGTTGGGTTCCTCTAGTCTAGTCTTCAGGCAGGGTGGTATGTTGGCCTGAAGCCCTGCCCACCCACTCAGGTGCCCAGATCCAGTCTTTCAGCACACATACCAGCCTGGGACCCTACCCTTCTCCCCACCCGGGACTCAAGCATGTTAACCAGTCTTCAAGTCCAGTCCAACAGTACACCATGCCAGCATGCCAGCCTGGAACCCCAGCAACCCCTACCCAACCTGGAACCCGAACAACCATGGGAGCTCCCAGGTCTGGTCCGCTCTGCCAGCCCCCACCATGAGCCCCACGTCCCCCAAGGCCACCTAGGGGTGCCTTATCAGAATTTTTTCTTTGTCAAGTAATAATTTTTTCCTTGAAGCCTATATCTTCAGGTATAAATATGCCAGTTTTTAATTGATCTTTGCTTAGTATATCTTTTTTAAAACAAAAAGATTTATTTATTTTTATTGGAAATGCAGATTTACAAAAAGAGACAGAAGGATCTTCCATCTGCTGGTTCATTCCCCAAATGACTGTAACAGGCAGAGCTGAGATGATCCAAAGCCAGGAGCCAGGAACTTCATCCAGTCTTCCATGTGGATGCAGATCCAAGGTTTTGGGCCATCCTCCACTGCATTCCCAGGCCATAAGCAGGGAGCTGGATTGGAAGTGGAGCAGCTGCAACATGAACACATGCCCATGTGGGATGCAGGTGGAGGATTAGCCAACTGAGCCATTATACCAACCCTTTGCATAGTGTATCTTGAAATTTAATTCTTTAACATTATATGGTTTCCTTAAAGTAGATTCAAGAGTATTATTTTATATAAACTTCCAAATTTTATATATTATTAAAGATGTTTGCTATGTAAAACTTTTAACATATGAAAAACTAAAAGTGCTAGAAAATCTAGGGCAATGAGTACCCACCAACCACACACCCGCTGGTTCCATTTAGAACGTATTATTTTGCCATTTTTATCTGCATTAATTTTTTTATTAGAGCACATTTTTATATATATCTAACACCACTGTTATTAGGTTTTAGCAAAATTAATAATGCCTCCATATTAATACCCAGTTCCCACTCAAACTTTCCCAGTCACCTTGAATTATACTTTGTTTTTGATGTTCTCCTTCCAACACTTCCCTGATCCTAGTTTTCATATATCCTCTCTTCTCCTTAATCATATAAGCTTTTTAAAGAACCTGGACAGCTGTCATGGAATATTCCTGTGCCCTTGCATTTCAAGGGTGTTGGCTGTGGACCATGTTCTCTGTAGTAGTCTCTTAAGCCAATGGGACACTTAACCTTCACTTTGCCAGCAACTTCCACGTACTCTTATTGTGATTACCAAAGTATCTGAAACAGTTCCTCCGATTTGTTAGTTCTATCCACGGCATTATATAAAAGTTTCGTTTTTTCCTGCTGGGTTGTTTTTAACTTAACTGAGCATCTTGGTTTGACTTTTTCATGCATTTGCTTTCTCCTGCTGCCCTCTTCCTCCACAGTTAGCTTGGAGGTCTACACTTTTTGTATTCCTTTCCCTGGGCTTGCCCTATGTCCCTCGGGCTGAGTTCGCCCCCTCAACCTTTAAAAGTCAGGGCACAGTTCATGCCATGTGACCTCAAAGCCAACAGGCAGTTATTGGCTGAGTGAGGTGATCTGCTCAAAGACAGCCAGTGGGTTGGCAGAACTAATTGGTGGGCTGAGCCAATCAAGATTCTCTCTCAGAAACTTGGCACTGGCAATGCAAGAGCCACCTTAGCCAACCGGAAAAGATGGTGCTGGGACTCAATCAGAAGAGAAGTGAGAAAATGGGGTCAGAAGAACAGAGCTCACAGCAAATAGAGTGGCAGCCCAGAGGTCCCTCCCCACCCTGACCCCACCCACTCACCCTACACACAGACTTCACAGTGGGTGGCTTGCTCCATTTCCTCCAATAACACCCCTCCCTTGAGTGCTTTATTCTGGGAAAATAAGCCTTATATAAAAGCAGAAAGAAATCCACAAACTAAGCCCTGAACTCCTGCAAAACAAGCTCCCTTTGCCCCCACATATAAAGGCATTGCTGATGGGACAGTCATTCCAGCTTATTGCTTTTGTCTCTTGTTTCTTGAAAACATGACCCCGATCAAGCCCATGGCTGCCAAGCCCACTCCTGCGATGCCCGCGGCCATGACCACGTCCCGGACCTGCAACAGACAAGAGGGTGAGTCAGGCACAATCAGGACTCTGAAAACAGGGCAGCCTCGCCTCCTGCCTCCCCAACAAGCTCAGGGGTCACCAGGGAAGGCAAAATCAGAATGGAATTTTGCCAGGAGCTGACATGGGCCTGAAGGCAAGAGACTTCATGCACCCTGTGACACTGCTAACAGCTTATAAATGCTCAGGCAAGGCGGGGGGCCTTTACATTCTCCCATGACTCAACAGTGCTGTTATCCTCAAAATTATCTGAATATCTGATTTATCTTGCTTTTAGCTTTATAAAGAAGTTACTACAGAAGTTAACAATCACTAGTAAAAAGCCAGCTGTGCCTCCTGGGGGCAACAGGGTGGCCATGCTGACTTGGTGTCAGAGCCAGTTCAAGCCCCAGCTACTGTTGCTTGTTGCTCATGCACCCAGGAAAGCAGCAGAAGATGGCTCGAGTGCCTAGTGCTTGGGCCCGTGCCACATTCGTGGGTGGTCCAGATGAAACTCCTGTCTGCTGGCTTCAGCCTGTCCCAGGTCTGGCTGTTGTAGCCATCCGGGAAGTGAACCGATGATTGAAAGATTCTCTCCCTCTGTCTCTCTGTCTCTCTCCAATTACTCCTCCCTCCCTCTCTGATACTCTGCCTTTTAAACACATAAATATTAAAAGGAAAAACAAAGTAAGGCTCTCTCAGCCTTATTCAAAAAAAGACTACGCTCTTCTGATACCCAACTAAATGTGTGGGTTTTAGGCATACTTCCATATGGACACCGATAACACCAAGCCCTAAGGCACCCGCGGGCGAAGCTTTGGAGGACACTGATTCTACAGCCCGTGTGCAACTGGAAACAGGGACGCAGAGAGATAGAGGTTTCATTTTGAACTTGGACTTTGACCCCAATGGACGTGGGAACATTTATTCCCTGGGGAGGGTAAAAGGCAAGCGTGGAGGTGCTCGATGTCAGCAAAGAACTGATACATTGTGACGTATCACAACACCAACAAGAAACAAATGCTGTAAATGCAACCCAAACTGCAATGACTCATTACATTACTGCTAGCTTAAAAATAGCTAACAGTAATCTCCAAACTAATCAGACTTGTTTAACTTAGCCTGGCTGTTGACAGCCATTTGGGGAGTGAAGCAGTGGAAGGTAGATAGAGCTTTCTCTGTGTAAATCTGTTTTCAAATAAGTGAAATAGATCTTTAAAAAAAGAAAGAAAAAAGAATTCTCTGTCTCTGCTCCTCTCTGTTTATCTGACTTTCCAAATATAGATATATATATATAGCTAAGCTAAGACTAAGCACTGCAGGACTAAGCTAAGCTAAGACTGCAGGACTTCATCCTGCTGTGTAAGTGGTCAAGCTCAAGGTCACCGACCCCACCCGGCCAGTTTCAGGATGCTCAGCAGGACTGCCTGCCCACAGCCAAAGAAGCTACCACCCTCACTCTCTCCCCTCCCTTTCTCCTTTAAAAAGTTCTGAAAACTTGAGAATCTGAGATTTTGGATTTTCTGACACAAAGCCACCATCTCCTCAAGTCGCCAGCCTCTTGAATAATCTGATTCCTTGCATCATCTCTCTCATCTGTCACGTGCTGGCTTTGGAGCCGGCAGATCCTTGTGTCCGTAACATAAGCCCTGGAGGCTCCCAGGCCACCTGTTCCTCATCACCTCCAGGAATTCACTTCCACGCAAGAGTTTGGGAGACTTCCGGGTAATCTGAGCAGCCCGAGTAGAAACCACAGAGGAGTCCAGAACCAGGACTCCTTAGAGCCCACCCAGACCACCGCGCAGTGGCACATGGTGAGGTCCACGCCCACTCTCCCTGAGCTCCCATCAGAAGCAAGCCTCTCACCCTTAACCATGAACTGCAGCCAAGACGCAAGCCTCAGAAGCAGGCTCTCAAAGTGAAGACCAGAAAAACAAAAGCCAAAACAAAAGAAACGGGCTGCAGAGCCAACAGGAAAAAAACAATCCGGAGAAACAGAAACCGTCTCCAGGAAAGAGAGCAACTGTTAAAAAAAACTCCCAGTGGAGAACAAGAGAGCACACCGCAGCCAGTGAACAGGAACTTGGCACCATGAAAACAAGTCAAAGTTGAGAAAGCAGAAACGGTCCACAGAAAATACGCTCAGGATAGAAATGACAAACGCTATAGAAAAATAAATCCAAAAAACCAGAGATTAAATGGTAGGGAGTAGACCCAGAATTCTTAAGGCACACCCTAGGAAGCCAAAGATGATGGCTCAGGTACTTGGGCTCCAGCGCCCCACATGAGAGAACAGGGCGAGTTCCTTATTCCAGCCCCAGCTGTTGCACACACGTGGGGAACAAACCAGTAGAAGGAAGATCTCTGCTTGACTCTCCACCTTTCAAACAAGAAAAAAGTCCAATTTTGCAAAACAGACATTCTAGGAAGGGAAACAATAAGAAGACTCAAAAGAGAAATGATGCATAAAGACTTAACAGAGCCTAACCATGTATATTTTCACATTGAGATGTTATTCTGAGCTCTATCTTAACGAATACAAGCAGACATACATCCAACACATCACCACAAAATTCTAGAACACGGCGTTAAAAAAAAAAGGTACCGCAACATTTTGAGCAACAGTGGAAAGGTCAGGAATCACGATGACCCCAGATTTCTCCAAAATCACAGAGAAAACGAGAGGATTCAGGAGTGATGCCCCCAAAATTCTGCAATAAAACTATTTCCAATCTAGGATTCTGTTCTCAACCTCTCGAATCAAGTGAGAGAGGAACATTTAAAATAGCCCAGAGTTACGAGATCAACAACATACTTCACAGGCCTCCATTCTCAGGACACGGTGAAGGAAGTTCCACCAAAACAGCAAAGACACAGGATACAGAGGGTGGGTGTTCCAGAACAAGACAGACTAGAAAGGAATTTCCACAGCCACAGCAGTGAGAGTCAGTCTGAGGACAGCTCGTTGCTAAACAGAGAGCATGACCGGGAGGCAAGAGCATGGCCAGAACCCTGTAAACAGATGGCGCTAGGCCAGGGGCAAGGAGGAAATTAAGGATGCAGGTTGACTCAAGGTTGCTAATTAAGTCACCCTTAAAATAGGGAGGAGATCCTAGCTAGCACAGCTGGGGCCAATATAATCGCAAAGTTCCTTAAAAGACAGAAGTCAGCAGGCAAGGCGTTGGCATTGGGATGTAATGAAGTAAGCCACTGCCTGCAATGCTGGCATCCCACATGAGCGCTGGTCCTGCTTCTGATCCAGCTCCCTGAATGTACGTGACAAAGAAGTGGAGCTTGGGCCTCTCCATCCACATGGGAGGCCAGAAACTCCTGGCTCTTGGTGCCGGCTGACCCAACACTGGCTTTTATGGCCATTTGAGAACTTCCAACCAGTTCAACTCCCACTGTGGGCAAAAGATCTCTCTCTGTATATCTCTACCTTTCAAATTAAATTTTTTCTATAAAAAAGGGTAAAAATTTTTTCGAGGAAAGGCTAGTATCACAAGGATTCTGAAGTGTGAAGGATGCAATGATGGCTAACTTTGAAAGATGGGAGGGACCAGTAGCCAAGGGATGCCAGCAGCTGCTGGAAATTTAAAATGGCAACAAATCAGCTTCTGCCTGAGAGCTTCTAGAAAGGTCTAGAAAAGTCTCACCAGGAGTTGAGTCCAGTGAGACCCATTTGCCTCTAGAATAGTAATCTAACCAGTTTGTGTGATTTTGAGTCATGCAGTATGTGGTGACTGGTTGCAGCCTCAAGAGGAAGCTGAGACATGACCCAGTACAGGTGACAGCCTGGTGGCTCCAGAGCCTGGCCCCCTGAGGACTGTCAGGGCTTTGTCCTCTCCACTGTGCTGTGTTCCAGACCTGAACTAACTTCCAGAGGTGGCATCTGCCCCAGTAAGGGCAACAACAAAACAAGAGATTGGGGAACCAGAAAATGCTACCTAAGAAAGAAAAACCCAAAAGGGAAGACCTAGGATGACAATCATGGAGTTGGCCGAGAAGCAACCAGCATGGGCAGAACTCTGGGATGGCTGTGTCCACAGAAAACACGACAAGCAGCAGATCCAGACCGGCACTGTGACACAGGGGGCCAGCATCTGGTAGGAGCACTGGTTTGGGTGTCAGCTGCCGTACTTCCAATCCAGCTCCCTGCAAATGCACCGGGGGAAGCAGCAGGTAGGAGACTCGGATGGAGTTTCAGACTCCTGGCTTGACGCTGCCCCTGCCCTGGCCATCTGGGGAGGAAACCAACAGAGAGAAGATTGATATCTCTCTCTCTCTCTGCCCCCTGTCTACAAAAATAAATTTTGATAAAAGATAAAGAACTAGTAGATCACTTGATGTGATTTCCCTTGTTGAGAGCTCATGAGGCGGGGTGGGGAGACGCGACAAGAGGTACAAAGAAAATCCAGTGATGAAAAGCACTCATTGTCATCAACGAAAAAGAACCCCACAGTCAAAACTAAAAGGCAGCTGTCCCAATAACACCACAACGCCCAGGTGTGAGTAAAATCTGTGTAGACATACATCAAACACCAAGTACTGATGTGATTATAATGTGTGATATGAAATTGCACTGAGACAATGAGGCGGCGGGGGAGACAGCAGTCATGAGCAGCCGAATAACACAGTCTGGGCTCCTGGCTTCTGGCGAGCCCAACCCGGCTGTTCCAGGCATTTGGCGAGTGAGCCAGTGGGTGGGAGATCTCTGCCTGTCTTTTTCTTTGTCTCTGCCTTTCAAATAAAGCAAGAGAAATCAGAAGACCACGCAAAGAGAGCACTGCTCCATCCTCCCCTTTGTTTGAAACAGCCCCGTTTCCCGATGGCTTCTGACTCTGAAGCTGGTCCATCTCAGGTCCCCAAACGTGCAGCCGGCACTGCTGTGGGCGTCCCATACTACAGGGACATGTCTGCTGCCACCACTGCGTTTTCAGTCATCACACTAGACCTAGCTGTTCTTTTAACTCAAGTACCCGTTCCTTCACAGTCAAGTGTTGCAATGGAC